TATCGACCAAAATAAAAATAAAAAGTAAATAAAACAGAAAAACATTTTATGTTTTATTTAACATACGTCCTATAGCTCAAAAATAATTATTAAACTTGTTGAAACATTTTAAAATTTTTTCCTAGGAATACAACAGTGTAGTACATAGTACTGCCTTGCATCTTATGTACTGTTGATGCCCGTGATAGTATGGCTGGCAGCATTCTCTTTTCAGCGGTTCCGTAACTAAACTTTGCCGGAAACTGTGATGACTTTGGCTGTATTTCATGTGTGCCTTCATTTCCAAATTTTACACGTATTGATGGTATATCTTCTGCATACATTTGATCTCGTCTAAAATTTGGCCAGATAATTTGAGCGATGAATCCTATTGTGCCAGTTATAAAGCCTTTGGATACATCCATATTGGATCGTAGCATTATTTTAGCTCCTTCAAATATTTCCAATTATTTAGGTAAGCCTCCTGTCTTATTGATGTCGCTAGGCATGATTTGGGGTTTCAATAGATTTCAATTTAAGTAGGTTATACACAATGTGTATTACACATTCTGAATATTCAGTATTCTGAATATGAAACAAATCGGAGCATAGATGCCGATTTTTTAATTATATAGGCTCACGCGCCACATAACGGCAAAATTTGTTGTGTAGTTATTTCTTTTCATGTAAGCAATATACATACTAAATGTGAACCTAATCGGATCATATATACGGGCTTGACCCTGCGCCACCTATCGGCAAAATTTTTTGAGGATTTATTTCGTTCCATATAAGTAATATGTGACCTGGTCTACGAAAAGGGAGCTTACGTGCGAAAACTAGTTTTCTGTGAAAAAGCTGTTAAAAGTAAGCAACTCGTTTCGTCAGTTTCTCATTATCTCGTTAATTGTTCTCCGCGCCGGACGTCCAGTAAGTGTTGTTGTTGGTCCAGTAAGTGTTGTTGTTGGTCCAGTAAGTGTTGTTGTTGGTCGGAATATTATTATAGTTATTTTATATATTATTATATATTATTTTTACTCTTCTTTCTCTACATTTTTAGTACACTTCTAAGCAAGTTAGGATTTTCTGCTTTTCACCACGTGAAAAAGCATCTCATCTTCCATCCGAATCAACCAAAAAGTGAAAATTAATTTTTTGACACCTAAGCCCCCTTTCCGTAGACCAGGTCACATATATGTTCTAAATATGAACCACATCAGACTATTTTTATAAATATCTCGACCCAGGCACCACCTAGCGGGTAAATTTTTTGTGGAGATATTTCTTTTCAACTAAGTAATTTACATTCCAAATATGAACCAAATCAGACTGTAAAGGCGGGTTTTACAAATATCTCGACTCCTGCGCCACGTAGCGGATTAATTCTTCTTTCATATTGTATTGTTATCGGGCTATGAGCTAAGTTTGAAGTTTCAAGTCTGTAGCTCATCGAGATGTTTGTTAAATATTGATTGCGAAATTCTAGGACATATGTATATACAAAGATACATACATACATACAAGTGAAGTTACCCTGCAGTAAAATTTAGAGACAGTCTGGCAAAGCGCTAGTTCCGAACTACATATTTCAGAACTATCTCTGAACTTGTGCAAAACGGCTGCAGAACGGAACAGTGGAACTTGCGGTGTAAGTGTACAAATTCTCACTTCTCGTACAATTTGAAAGTAGCTCAGCGAGAAGACCTCCGAGCAACGTTGGTGGCGAGTTCAAATCGCGGTGAAGGCAGTTGGGAGTTTTCAGATTTAATGATTAAATTGTTGGGTGCCGCTTACAATATTTTTTTTATAAAATATGTAGCATATATGGAGTCTGTAAAAGAAAAGAAAAACGGAAAAAATGTCCAAAATTCGAATCCTAAAAGCGTTTCCTTATAAAAAAAACTGTCCAAAACGGAACTGGTTAAAAACTAGTTGTAAAGTAATGCACTGTGCGACAATTGCCTCCGCCAATGACATCGCCATGTAAAACTGGACAGTTGAAAGCATATCTTGGGCATTGAGCTAGAACTACTACTGTCCGCAATAGGTCTAGTTCTACGCTAGTTCCGAGCTAGTCAGATTTTCTGCAAGGTAAATAAAAGCTTATAAAAAATTGCCAAAAACATTGTTATAGCCGCAAAAAAAGACATGGCCGGAGAAGACAGTTTCACCCTATCTCGGGTATGGGAAATCGAGCTGCATCATTAGTTTTTTAAGTTTTAAGCCAACCAGGTAAAAGTAAGAAGCCATAAAATATTGCATAACACCTGAAAAATTTCCATTGGAGGCAAAATTTTCAAAATAAAAAGTTGTATGAAAACGTGCAGAAAACTTAAAAAACGAATGATGCAGTTTGATTCCCGATGCCCGAAATAGGGCGAAAACGTCCAGCCATGTCTTTGAAAATGTTTGAAAAAAACTATCACAGTGACATCACCCGTAAGTCTGTAAGTAAATTATTTCTAAGAAATTTAATTAAATAACTCGAAATTTGTAATAATATATAAATAATAAATTCAAGAGTCAAACCTTATCAATATGTGAGTGTCGCAAAGTTATGATAAGTAATATATGTAGTTTGATTGTCCGAATAAAAAACAAGCTACAGCCAGATTTCGGCCGTCAGCAATAATTATTAAAAAACAACTGCAATTTTTTGCTACTTCAAATTTACACATTATTACAGTAAAATTTTATGGGATATAAAACTAAATATTCGAGATTTTTTTATTTAATTTTGATCTTTAGTTTATTTCTTATTAGCCAATGCCTTTATTTTTTGCAAAAAAAATATTTATCTCAGTTTTTCTGGTATAATTTGTCTGAAAAATATATGTACAATTTTTCTTGTATTTTTATCAAATAACATAAAATCAAAGATATTCTTTTATCCCATAACTGATTGGGCCCCCACCACATATACATACTTATTAGACTGCATCACTCCCCATACAAAAAAAAAATCGGTACTGTTTTTGCATTGGAATTATAAAAGCTATTATATCTGGACCGATTTGAAAATACCTCCAAACATGGAGTTTTTTATGAATAAAAATAGTTTATTAAAGATTTTTTTTTGAAAAAATCCCCTCAAATGACAAAACGATTTAAGCTTACAAAATTTACATAAAGATATTTTTAAAAAATAAAAAAAATTTTAACGGAATTGTAATAATGAGACTTTTGATGCTGTTTTTTTAACTTTTTTCAAAGATTGGTATAAGAAAAACTTGAATAACTGACCCTAAACTCTTCCGATTTAGACTTGTGAGATATCATTGGAAAGGTATTTTCTTACACTTTTTATTTCTTTGCTGATAAGGATGAAAGAGAAAGGTAGGATGAACGAACATCATTCAAAGTTGAATTAAGATGTGTTGTTATTTGGAAAAAAAAATTGGGACACGAATGATTTTTTTGCACATAAATAAAAATATAGGGAAAATACCTTTCTATCTAGATCACATAAGTCTAAATCAGAATAGCTTTGGCCCAGTTAATTAAGTTTTTCTTAAATCAATCTTTGAAAAAAGTAAAAAAAACAGCATCTAAAATCTCATGATTACGATTCCGTTAAAAAGATTTTTAAATATTTTTATGCGGATTTTTTGAGCTTAATCTGTTTTGTCATCTGAGCGGACTTTTTTCAAAAAGTTCTATGAGAAACTATTTTTATTCATAAAAAAACTCAATTTTTGGAGGTATTTTCAAATCGGTCCAGCTTGCTTAAATCTTAATATTTTTCCGAAATATTTTGGTGGACGTCTTAAAATATAACAAATTTTGTAATCCCGGCGGAAAACCCGCAACTTTTTTGTAATGCAGTCTAATACTTATATGTAGCTGTAATTTGGTATAGAATCAAAGAATCAAGATTATTTATTTTTCTATTCGAATATAGAACTCTTAATAATTACTTGGTGTGGCAAGCGGTACGAACACTGACGTCTTGCTTGTCAAAGCCGTTTCGAGACGCTTATAAAAGCGTACGCAAGGCTCTAATGGGCTCAGATGGAGGCGAAGAGATATGGCGATATTGCGTGGCAGATACAAATAACGTCATTGGTTTTGCAGTTGGGGCCATTTTCGTGCGTCAAGCTTTTCATGGCGGGTCTAAACCAGAAGCCGAACAAATGATCAACGAAATTCGCGAAGCTTTTAAAGAAAATTTACATAACCTCACATGGATGGACAGGGGTACTCGTGAACGAGCAATCGATAAAGCCAATGCAATAACAGACATGATTGGATTCCCTGACTACATTCTCAACCCAAAAGAGTTGGATAAGAAATATGAAGACTTGAAAATTGTGCCAAACAAATATTTCGAAAACAATATTCAGGTTGCAATGTATAATTTAAGAACCAACTTGGAAAAGCTAGATCAGCCTGTGAACAAAACTCATTGGGGCATGACTCCTCAAATGGTGAACGCCTACTATACGCCCACGAAAAATCAAATTGTGTTTCCAGCTGGAATACTGCAATCACCATTTTACGACACCAACAATCCGAAGAGTCTAAACTTCGGCGCAATGGGCGTTGTTATGGGTCACGAGCTAACGCATGCGTTTGATGACCAAGGACGCGAATATGATAAGTTTGGCAACATACATCGATGGTGGGACAATAAGAGCATCGAAAGGTTCAACGAGAAAACAGAATGCATCGAACGACAATATGGGAATTACAAAATGAATGGGCGTACCCTAAATGGAAAACAAACTTTGGGTAAGTTAACTTGAGAGCCTTTGTTATTTGTTGCTTCCCTCTTTACAGTCTTAAAAACGAATGCCAGCCGTACTGATTTTATCAGTACAGTACTGATTTTTTAACTCTCGTACTGATTTTATTTATTTCTTCAATCAGTACGCTAATGTCCTGATTTTTTTAAATTTGTACTGATTTTTACTGAATTTTCAATTCTGATTATAAAAATTTGTATTAGAGGTATTTTCACCGAACTTGTTACTCGGTTACTCAGTGTTCGGCAATTTTACGCCATGTATTTTTTTGTGTAATATTATTTTACTCACGCGAAATACATTAGGATTTTTTTAAGGTTTTTACATAACTTGGGAACTTCCTTAAACAGTACTATGAAAAGTAATACTACGTTCAAATTGACGAGCTAAACGTGTTAAATGGGCTTGAACCAGTTAAATGATCAAAACATGTTCATAAACAAGTTAAATCGCATGCAATTGTTGTTGGAAAATTGAACCAGTTAAATCATTTAACTCGTTTGAAAACCAGTTCAGCGCAGAGTTGTATCAGAAAGCTTTTTGCTCCGACCAATCAGAAAGACCCGAAAGCTTTCATTTGACACGCCACCGTTCAAAAAATTTATATTCTGAAAAATATTAAAAATTAAAAATTATCAAAAAATATCAAAATTGTATGCATGTCTGCCTGCCAAAAAAGAGGCCAAGGCGGTAATTAGTTATTTCCCATCAGGTCTCGTCGTACGCAGAGACAAATAGGGCATACGAACTAAACATTTTGACGTATCTAAATGATCCGTATGCATTAATATCATGAAGCAGACATTCGCATAAAACAAACTGAACCACAAAAACTTGATTTTGAATATTTTTTTTTCGAATTTTTATTGGTAATCAAACAACCGTCAAAGTTAACTCCAAATGTTCAATGTGGACGATTGTGTTTTCCAAAAAGCTCTTTTTCATTTAACAAGTTAAATGGGGGCCGATTTGAACGTAATATAAGAAGAAAATAATTTAATTATAGTTGACGTTTCAGATAATATTTGATATGGTCAAGAAACTAATACAATGAAAAGAGCAATGGTTTTATGGGCATATCGCCGAGTCATCACGTACCAGTTGCGTCAGTATTATGGAATATAATTTATTTAAAAAGAGGGCTAAAATTTTTTGTCCAGTGTTGTTAGTTATCTCGAAAATAACTTTCAGTTAATAAAAAAAAATTCGAATAATTGAATGACTTTTGTCTACAACTAAGCGTTTAAGCGTAAGTCGGAGATGGGCGCCATAATAAGAAATTCTTTATTATCTTCCAAGTTGGAAAATTTTGGCTTAAACGAGCAGGGCACACCGAATTTCATCAAAAAAGATTTTTTTTTAATTTGCGCCTGATTTTCTAAACCGATTTTTACGATCTTTCAGATTTACGCTTTTCTTGTTAAAACCAGCATATGCTCTGAATTTCATCAAAATCAGATAACATTTACTATTTCTGCCCACAAAAGCTGTGGGCGTGGTAGCGCGTTGAATTTTACCATTTTCCACATTTCTTCATTCTTAGGAGCCGAACCGCGCATATACGAAATTTCAGCGAATTTCTAGTACAATTACTACGTTTGGCTGCAGCTTATATGGGGACGTCCCACTGTGCGGCGCCAGCGCTAACGTAACGCCAAAGTTGTATGTGAACGGGCCTTTACATAGCAGCAGCGTCATTAAGCAGTACTGCCAAATTAAGCGCATTTTCTAAATTCACTGCCACTGTCTTCATCGCAGCAAACTTCGCACATTTGACATTTATGAACCGCAGCCAATTTTTGTTTCTATCACTGAAGCCTAAAACACAAAAAAAATTTAATCAAACAAAAGGGAATGTCAAATAAAGCACTCACTGACAACGCCGTATTGTGTTTGCTGCGGCAGTGACTGCCAATATTATCAGTAACAGCTGATTTTAAAAACTGTCACTGCCACTGCCACTGCGCTATTGTATTTTCGGAATAATAGCAATTAAATTAGTGTAGAAGACGCATACAGTACAACGGTTACGTGCGAAGAAGTTCACGTAAGTGGGAAAAGCTTTTGACTGTCATTCACCTGGGTGTGGCCAGAAGTGATTCTTTTGCGTGCGGTTCAAATCACAACT